AAAATGTAATATTTAATTACTATCGCGGAGTTATCACGGTGGATTTACTGTAGCCTAGGCTACGAGGTTCTTGGGAGAGAAAAAAAACCTCTGCACTTAACGGCTGGATTGAAAACTTTCTCGAAAAGATTGTCCTGAGCCCACCGTAGATCGCCAAAAGAGTAAGCTTCTGATCACAGTTTTCCCCATTAAGTTCCTTTGTGTGGTGTGGTGCGGGCTGCGGGGGAGAGCAGGGTCTCCGCCGACAGAGAGATGATGTTGATTTGAGGGGGCGGCGGAGAGCCGGTTTCCTCTGCATTCACTTACATGACAACTTGACTTGAAAAAGAAGTCAATTTTCTGCTGCTGCCTCTTCCTTTTTGGCATCTCTGCCTCCTTCTTCTCTCTGTTGTGTGTCAGTGTTGTTTAGTATCAGCCATCAGTGAGTGACAAAAGCTCCGACTGACGTAACTTAAAATTTCGCGGGCCGGCGGCCGGTCGCGGACAACAGTCGTTGATTGGGTGAATGTCCGTTCAATTTGACCAATGCCTTTTCATGCAGCATAAGGGGGAGTGAGGTGCGCTCCATTTTCGTATGCTGGTGCACTGCCAGGGTGGGCAAACGGGTTTACCTTTGGAAAATGTGGGGGGGATGAAATCATCTTGCTGTAAAAGTGGGGGTGTCAAAACACCCCATCCCCCACGGGTGCGACGCCCCTGATTGAAATGCATTACAGAAAGTCAGTTTTGTTCGGTTTTATGAGCTTTTTCGGCGATTTGAAGTTTAACAATGGTCAAATGGTGTGCATGGGGTACATGCAACTCCGACACAAGGTATCCTGAGAGGCTGGGCGACGAGGTGTATTTTTTACACTTTAAACCACATCTCAACTGAGAAAAGTGTCTCCTTTGGATAAAGTTGTGCGGTAACGTTAGACCACAACATCAACTCAACGTGAATAAGATTAACAATGATGTCTACATCTGTTTTAAAGTAAGTCAACATTGTATTTGAGGCAAAATATTGTAAAATATTGTGGAAAGAAATATAAAGTTATCTTTAACATCTCTAGCTAATGTTAGCTGAAGTTAGCCTAACATTAGCTCCTAGCTGCGTTGTTCATCATGTCACCTTGTTTGCTGGGAGTTCATTAGCCTATTTCGTTCTAGTTTTGTACTTTGGTGATCGTACATCATTGTTAGCTGTTGTCCAAAGGGCTCTAGTTAAGCTAACGTTAACTTCTGGAGCTTAGCTTCATTAATTTATCTGTAATCACAGAGATAACAAAGGTTGGCAAACGTTATGCTGAATGATTCAGTGTAAATATTGTAGCACCAAACTAACGGAGAGACACTCTTGGTAAAGATGGTAAAAAGGCCACTATCCTTTTCTCATATTCTGAGCCAAAAACCTTAACTTCAGTGGCACTTTAACTTGTTGTCTTTGATGGTGACGGCAACGAGATGCGGTTCACAAGCATACACTGGGACCTTTAAATTTTGTCTTGTAGCTTTTCATCGAGCTTCTCAACAATTAAATGATGAATATATCCCTCCAACGCGTAGTTTAGGCCCTTTTGGTTACTTCTCAATGACATCTGATTGTTATGTCCCCAAAAATCATCAATTGCTTCCTGCGAAATACCGTGTACTGTGACACCTGCCATAGCGCCAGTGACTGAATGTTGATAGTTTGTCAGAGTGAGTGGAGGGGGGTGTGGCTTAGCCATAGGTCAATTTTGATTACAGTCAATGTTTAGATTTTAGGACTTTATCAGGTGCCTATGGGACACTTCATAACCACCAGTGGTAGAGATGACAACCACATTTTTGTAAAACACATATTTAGGAAAAGAGGAGTAATGAGGAAGACTGTCTCAATGTTGTAAACTGGGCTAGTAGTAGATTGTTGAACTATGAAGGTCTTCTTTGCTGGACCTATTAACATATCCAAATCTGCACCAACTATGAACCTAGCAGACACTCTAATCACCTGTAACCTGCCGAGAGCGCAAAGAGCAAATAGTGATTTGCCTGTTGTTGTATGCCTATTATACGGAGCATGCACACAGATCGAATAATGTCTTAGGTGAACTACACACACACAATGCCTCCTGTAAATATTTTACCAAATTAAGTTATTTAGATAAAGACAATCTCTTTCATTTCTACAATGTCATTATTAAAGAATCCAAGGGACAAATAAAACCCAAAGTCCCTCAAGTAAACTTCACATGAACACCAGTCTATATTCCTAGATAAAAAGGTGTTGCCTATTCCAGTATAATGAAAGCTGCCCACTCTCAGCAGGTCAGTGTAGCTCCAGAAATTAGGCCAATTATCCACAAAATTAAATTCCTGCTCACTAATAATGAGCTGGACAGCAGTTCAGTGAAGTAAGCCCACTGTACCAGCATTACCCCCTCACAGGTAAGTGTAGGGCCTCTTTAGTTTCTCACAGATGAAGCTGTTCATTTGTCTGACTTAAATTAGACTTTTATGGGAAATTTAAACAGCCATGACATGTAACTAACCTCTATGGAGCCATTTTTACTACCACTTGTCAGTGTGACCTATGATCCTTTGTCAATAAGTTTCATTTATTGTCTGACAAAAACATCAAAACTGTATATAATCACAGAAGAACAGCAGTGAAAGTCTAACACTGAATCTGGTTGATGCAAACCTCATGTTTGGATACTTTTGTCTACTCTAAGTTACCCAGAGGCATTTCAACAAAATGGGTGGAGCAACAACACCTCTGTGGCCAGGGTCCACTCCACCGAGTTTATTGATTACTCTGGCTTTATTACATGAAACAGCAGTTTCAGTTGAAAAACAATGGATCCAATGAGTGTTGCAGGGGCACTAACAATTAGCCAATCAGAGTCATGGGTGGGATAAATGCCACTGGCAAGCTTTTGTCAAGCATTGTCAGTTGAATGATTGCATACCCAGCATATCCTCTCAATATCGCCTGATATTGTAGTTTGTTTTTACTTTGCTTTGCTCCACTCAAAAACCCTGGCAAAACCAGTATGTTGGCATTGCATGGCTACACATCAATGTGGACTTAATATGATGTTGGATCCAGGCAAATATGTTGATATCTAATGATTTGTTAAGCAAAATTAAATCCTGGAAATGATAGAAACAAAGTGACAATTCTGTCTGATATCAGGCAGACACTTAGGGGAATTAGGATTGTATTTGGCTAAATGTGAACTTTAATTGGAACAGTAATTGTGTCATGACCAGTGGTGTGATGAAGGGTATATGTAGGTACTGTATATGGGCTATAACCCCCTCTTTGTCTGGCCGTTTACAGTATGTCCACCTATCAGCCAAAAAGCCATTGGAATATATAGGCGAGTAAACCCACTTCCTTCTTGGTAACCAACGCATCTACTGAGTAATGTTGTAGTCCACAAGAACACAAGTACAGACAACAGCAAAGATTGAGAAAGTTCTGTTTTACTGGTTTTAGGTTTCTAGAACTTTGTGTGGCTTGAAGAACTTCCTGACTGGTTAACAGAAAATATTGAGAATGAACATTTTTACATTCTCTCTTGTCAGTGTATGTTAATTTAGCTGATTTTATATTTTCTTGAATCCTTATATGTTTGTTGGGCAACATGAAAACTATCTCCACATGATGACAAGGACTAACTGTTAAAAAGCTCCCTTTACAAAAATACCATTTTTGAAATTGTATCCTTCAATGAAGAATAGGCACCACTTCAATAAATGGTCTCTACCGGAGGCGGATCCACAGGTGGATCTTAGATGCCGTAATCTGGTCACGCTCCATTAGTCCTCCGCGGGTCTCAATCTGTGTAATCAGGTCATGGCTTGTAAGGTCTGTGTGATTCTCCCTTAGTGGAATTTAGGATTATGTCTGTAAAGCTCCTGTGGTGGGGATCAGAGCGGGTAAACGCCTGTGACTATCCCTTTTCACTGCTCTCCCCTGAACTGCTCAGACCTGTGTTTACTGGGCCAATAATCTCCAGAAGCACACAGACTGAGAAACACAGCCTAACCCCTTTTATTTTTTCAACACTAGATTTCCACCTAAATACCACAGGGGAAGAAATGTATTGTCGTCTGATTTGGCATCATATTCCACATGGTGTGATTTTTTTCTTTCTGATCCCACCCACTTTTTCATCCCTTAGAGCTGTGTGAGGATTTAGCAGTGTTTCATCTTCTTTTCCTGACAGAGTCCAAGGTGCTGCCATTGTTTGTGTTACATGATAGGCTTTTCTGGACCTAGTAAATTTTACCTATGATTTAACACAGTATCACAGGTTCTTGGGATGTGTTTCTGCTCCAGCACATAAAACTCTGGCCAAATCCCTCCTACCACAAACAGCCCTTTTCCCTCATCAGTATGGCAACTCTAACCTTTCTTGTCCTCAGATTTCTCTCAGGGAAAACAAAACATTTGTCTTTATTTCTTTTTGCAGCTTTCACAATGGATAAAAATGTATTGAAAGTCTAGCTGTCAGATGCTTAAAAGAAATGGTTCGGCGTATTGTCGCCTACTAATTTGCTAAACTAGAGCTTTGTAGATTTGGCGCTTACTGTGGCCCTTGCTCATTCACAATTCTAAAACTACGCAGTATTAATTTTAAGGCTTGGGTCAGTTTCTAACCCTAAAACCAGGCCTAAACCTATGTAACCCACTGAAAAAGACAGTCCAACTATCACATGTAACAGGGTAGACTTGTATCGTTTGGTTTTTCGTTTGGTTGCAGTGATTTATTTATTTATTTATGGTTTGAGCACCCAGTGTGTGTGTGTGTGTGTGTGAGTGCAGTGGTTAGTGGGTGTGGTTTCCATGTCTGGTGAATTGCTGTGGTGATGGGCTGATGGCGTGCAGGTGTGATGGGTGTTACCTCCTAATTTGCTGAGTACTTATCAGACACACACACACACACACACCCACACACACACACACACACACACACACACACACACACACACACACACACACACACACACACACACACACACACACNACACACACACAGACAGTTTGTTAATTTCAGCTGTGAATCTCCTCTGTGGGTATAGGCTTTTTCCTTTTTCTCTGGCAACTACTTTGAGTGCTGTTTGTGTCTGCTGGTGTGGGATGTGTTGAATGTTGTATTGTATGTTGAGCCATATTTGCTTTTGTTAGTTGTTTGTTAATTTCGGCTGTGAATCTCCTCTGCAGTTCTAGGTGTGCTGAAAGGGCTGCTGGGTCTACCACACGGCTGGGTCAAGGTGGAGAGCTGCCTAGTCAAGCAGAACTACTAGAAGCGTAGTGCAACGCCGGACCAGACCAGCCACAAAGCAGTGACCAGATACAGCTACACCGACCTTGTTGTAAGAATATCGGCTTCGCCATACACAAGAAGGACAGCACACCCAGCCACAGACATTTATTCCCCCTCTCAACTGAACTGGCTTCCAGTCCCATTTTATCAATTTTCTCCTCTAGCTTGGGCCCCCATTTTTAACTCTTTTTTTAATCTATTGAATTGTTAATAAAATAATTACTTGCAAATTTCAGCTTGTTGTGTTTTGCCCATTTCTTCCACTGGTTGGTCAAGCCGAACTGGGGTGTTTTACACACACCTACACTCACAGTTGGCCAAGTGTTAGAACATCCTATAGGTTTGTTGTTTTGGTTCCTCACTTAACTTCTTTTGCACTGAGTGCTACACTGCAAAGGCCTTTGGGGTGAGATGGTCTGTCTGTTTTGGCCACCATCACATTTTGTTAGTTTCATCATGTCTTTCCCCTCTGTGAGAACAGCCTTGCCTGTTGTGTGGCCATTTTGATCCAGTGAAAACACTTTTGCCTTTAAGCCTCCTCCAGTCTTTAAGATATTAGAAATCTTCTAAAGTTTAGTGCAAGCTACACTGAACAACATGACTCTAATAAACTTGGGTACAACATCAAGTTGCAGACTGTATGATGACAGGGCCTACTGAATTGCAGGCTCCCACTTAGATGCACAAGGATGCTGCACAGGTTATGACTTCTCCAACTGCGAAGCCCAACTTAGTCACGTATTAAACACCTTAAGTTCTGTGAGCACATTATACTGCGGTGTGTCTTTTTGTTTGTCTGCTAGCTGTTATCTTGCTCACCTGGCAGCTGCACCTCTGCCATTATTTCCTTTAATGCTTCATCATTCTTTATCATCATGGTAAGAGCTGGAGGACACATCATTCAGGCAAGGCATCTGCTGCCACAACTTCACAAGGTTTTCCTCTTTGCTAGAATCCCACACATTTCTTTTAGCCCGTTTTGCCTCCATAGTGAGCTGCTATCCATCTGTTTGTTTGGGGTTTAGCTCCAGTGTGTCATTTCATGCCGCATTTTTAGTGGTTGGTTAGTAGACATAGGTTGTAACAAATTTCAGAATTTTATCCCAGGCTGTCTGATGCCCTGTTTAGACGACAATGATTTCAACTGAAAACGGTAAACTTTGGCTGCGTTTTGGCCGATCGTTTACACGACAGCAGCATTTTGGTTGCCTGAAAACACAACGTTTTGAAAACGGGTTCCAGAGTGCAACTTTTTGGAAATGGCAGCGTCTCCATTGTCATGTAAACTTGCAATATGCAGTTCCTCTGAAAACAGACTTTTCGCACATGCGCATTACGGTTCCAGTCACTAGGCATGCCGACCATCACAACAACAATGCCGAGCTGTGTTTGTGCTGCTCACCCTGTTGATTTGAAGTGAAGTGTAGATCTGTTACTGTAGCAACTCCACCTCGTTGTCCATCCAGACAAAGTTATCTGTGCATGCTTTCGCCAGTGTATCTTCTTTGTTTTGGTTTGTAATCACCGCGTTGTAAAGGAAGGCACTTCAGCGCAGGCGCATGGCGTCATGCTGTGGTGTTGCTTTGCAAATTTACACTGCCACCCATTGGCCTGGCGTGCATACTACAGCGTTTCCAGTAGATTTTGTGGCTCCGTGTGAACAGGGATCATTTCAATAACATCGTCATATAAACGCAGAAGTTTTTTAAAACGCAAAGGACAGACTTTTCCGTTTTTAGAGAAACCGTTGTCGTCTGAATAGGGCCTGAAATTGCAAGACAGCAGCCATCCTTAAATTATCGTTAATTTTGACCAGATTATGTGAACTGCATATATTCTAATCCTGATTTGGAGAAAAAAAAAGTGTCAAGTGTCGTTCTTTTGGGCTTCAGCAACACCAAACCCCTGAGTTTGCCTGAGAGGGACTAAAAGCACATACCCACTATTTTTAAGTATCCCTTCGAGAGAGACTCTCACTCTTGCCTGTTCTATTTTGTTCTGAAAATGTCAGCATGCAACCCTTTTCTGTGGCGATAAATGAGGTGCAGACTTCCATCCGTGTCACCGGTGATGAGGATCACAGCGAGTGCTGTACGGAGCAGTGAGTGACAACAATTCCGCCCACATTTAAGAGTACTGTTTGTAGCGAAAATGCTAAATGGACTTAGGGTCTATAGGTACCATGTCTGAAGGGTTACTTTTGGTTCCAAATGAAAAATACCAAAATTATTAGGTTGCAACAGGGCTGTAGAAGTGTATTGGAGTAAAAAGTATATGTTTGTGGAGTAATAGTGAAAGCTGACAAATAAGAACTCAAGTAGGGTACAGATACTTCCAAAACATACTTTATTTATTTATTTAGACTCAAAATTCATTGAGGGCAAGGCCCTCATTTGCAATTAAGCCGAGTGAAATACATAGGAACTTAGTTAAAAAACATAGATAAATTAATAAAAGATAAAGGAGGACAAGAAATTAAGTACAAAAAGAAAAGCAGTACAAATATACAATATAAATAACCACAGGAGGAAAACAATTAATCGAAACAATTACACGAGTGAGACAGGTGGTCTCTGAGCAATGTCTTAAAAAGGCTAAATGCAACTAAGGTATTCATACCTAGCTCATGCTGCAGGTTATTCCAGGCTGATGGCATAAAAACTGAAAGCAGTCTTCCCTAACTTGGTACGGACTTGAGGGATCTTTAGTGCCAGCCTGCCAGTTCATGTCTGGTAAGGGTTTGAGTACCAGTCTAACAAGGATGTGATATAGGCAGGAATTTTCCCAAAAATGCCTTATAAATAAATAAAAACAAATGCATATCACGCCGTGCTGATAGAGAAAACCATCCAACTTTTTCATATAGGGTGCAATGGTGGGTATTGTAAGCTTCCTCTGTTATCTCTGTTATAAATCTAAGGGCTGAGTGATAGACGGCATCCAGGGTCTTGAGAGAAGTGACAGATGCATGTCTGTAAATTACATCTCCATAGTCCAGAACAGGGAGGATAACTGCCTCAACAATCCTCTTTCTACAAAAAATTGGGAAATGACATCTGTTTCTAAATAAAAAGACTATCTTTTGTCATAATTTAACCACCAGGTTATCTATGTGAAATTTAAGTTTTTCCATCAAGCCAGATTCCTAAGTATTTGCATTCTGAGACCCTCTCAGTGCTAGACCCCTTTAAAGTAGTTATGCTCTTGTCATTGTGTCTATCATTTGTAGACCTAGAGAACAGCATAAATTTGGTTTATTTTAATTGTTTTTTTTTAAATTGTAATTGTTTTCTGAGCATTTAGTACAAGTTTAAGATCATTTAAGACATTCTGAAGGACATTAAAAGAAACCTGGATCTGTTCCATGGCTGTCTTTTCAGAGTCGGCAATACAATATAAAATCGTATCATCTGCATAAAGATGAACCTGACAATTGAGCAGGGGGACAATGTTATTGATATAAATTGAGAAAAGAACAGGACCTATGGTTATTAATATAGACACAGACTGACTCGTTCCAAGTTTAACAAATTGGTGTCTACCATCTAGATAACTCTGAAACCATGCACAAGCACCTGGACTAAATCCCACAGATGACAGAGTACGAAGGAGCAGAGAATGGTCAACGGTGTCAAAAGCCTTGGAAAGATCAACGAAGACAGCAGCACAGTGTTTTTTTCTGTCAAGCGCACTGACAATGTCATTTACCACCAGAGTGGTAGCAGACACAGTGCTGTGGTTGGGCCTAAAGCCAGACTGATGTGGGCTCAGAACAGAATTAGTATTGAGAAATACCTTTAATTGAGAGTTAACCAGGGACTCAAGAATTTTAAACAGACAGGATAATTTTGATATTGGGCAATAATTATTAGGGTCAGTCTTATCACCTCCCTTATGCAGAATGGTAACATGGGCAGATTTCCAGAGCCTGGGAACAACTCCAGTAGTGCTGTGTAGTTTGTGAACAAATCATTCAAAAGAACGAATCTTTTGAGTGAATGAACTGAACTAAATCACTTCTGGAACTGATTTGTTCATTTCTCAGTTCAGTTGAACTCAGCAGCCACCGTGCAGGCCGGGAGTGGAACTGCCGATTTGGTCCGTGCGAACGATGAATCACTCGCGAGTTGCGAGGCAGCCAGGGTGCAGGGAGGGACTGCCTACCGCATGATGAATCACTCTATGAACAAATCACTCTGTGAACGATGCAACCCCGATCCCTGAGTAATTCAAATCATTTCTTCTCAGTGATACACATTCATAGGGACTGTTTTCTTCAAGCTAATGGCTAATGTCGCCAGGAGTCAAGCCACATGAACATAATCACACACCTCCCCATTGTTTTAACAGACTTCATTTCCAGATAAACAAACTTAAAACGTTAGGCTTGCCAGTAATGAGACTCTCCAGTGCAGGGCAGACGCAGCAGCAGCTTAGCCGTGTATCAGTTCAGTGAGTCAGCCTACGCAGTGCACAGTCAGTGAACGATTCAGTGAAAGAATCTTTTGAACAAATCTTTTAATGAACTGATGCAAGTGATTCAGTAACATCTAAAGAACTGCTTTGTCTATCACTAAACTCCAGTAGAAATGGAGAGGTTAAAAATGTGAGTTAATGGCTCAGCAATCAATGTAGCAGCAATACGGAGGAAGAAAGGGTCAAGATTATCTTCTCCTGTAGCTTTCTTGGGATCTATTGCCTGCAGAGCAGACATAATTGTGCTGACAGACACTGGATTAAGCAGAAATTGAGTATTTGGTCTTAGATTGTCAAATATTTTATCAGAGGTGTTGTCATGCGGTAACACTGCTATCAAAGATATGGCAGGCCTTGGAGAAATGTTTATTAAATATTGAGCAAATCTCATTGCTATCATGTACTAGATAGTTGTCTACTTTAATACAAGAAGGTATAATGGCAGTATAGCTCTTATTTTTAACATTAACTGCCTTCCAAAATTTTGAGGGGTTAGAATATGATCTTGAGACCAAATCCAAGAAGTAATCGGATTTGGCCTTCCTTGTTAAAGATGTAAATTTGTTTCTAATCCCCCTAAAAGTTGACCAGTCAGATATGTCCTGCGTACATCTAGCTACGGTCCAAGCTTTATTTCTTGCAGAAAGTAAGGAGGATAGTTCAGAGGTAAACCAAGGGTTAGACCTATTTTTAACTCTGATCTTTTTAAAAGGTGCATATCTATCCACAGATGAAAGGAATGACTTTGAGAAAA